TCACATCACGATTTGCGCCAGCACCCTTTGGGAATGCTCAGGAATGGCCAATTCCCAGACTGCGCCGGCGCGACTCTTGAGGTGGCCAGGGGTGGGGGGAGGGGGGGGGGCGGGGCGGGTCACGGGCGTTCTCGCGGCCAGTGCGAAGCGGGCTTCTGGAGGGCAGGTTCTCAAGAAACGGCCAGAGCTCCCGCCTGAATTTGCGGTCCCACGGGGCGCTCGTCCTTCAGGTGGGGTCGCACCGCGCGGATGAGACGGGAGCTCGAGGGGGGCTTTTCGGGGGGTGGCTTGACCAGGGGGGGTCGTAGTACAGCATCGTTGATGCATCTTGGGCTTCCATTTTCCTCGTGATGCCCCTCCTCCTCCTCCTCCTCCTCCTCCTCCTCCTCCTCCTCCTCCTTCTCCTCATTCTCCTCCTCCTTGTTGCTGGCGCTGCCCCGTCTCGGCAGCGCGCCGAAGGGGCAGGGCGATGGCGTCCTCCTTCTACTCAGATGGCAGGGGGCCTCTTCGAGGCCATCCTGCCCTCAAGGAGGCGCCGTGGAAGCAGGTGATCCCTTCCGATGAGCCGTCTTGGGCCGATCCTACGCTCTCCTCTCTCCTCTCCCCCCTCTCCTCCTTCCTTTGGCACTTTGTTGTGGATGCCATCGCGTGTCGCCTTGGAGGCTGGTCCGGCGGCGTTCCGTCTCGCGTCATGGTGACCATCGCGCAGTGTTGCTTGATGTTGCGTGGAATGAAGAGAGGCACAACAAACCCAGCCTTCCTAGATCTTAGAGGACCGTCACCCATTGCCACATCCCCTCCGGGCGCGCTACCATAAGTTGTCGCGACCTCTGCAGAGCCCTCGACCCCTTGCCCGGAAACCGATTTCTTGATCCAGCGTTCGTCGTTCTTTGATAGCACCAGGGCTTGGAACTGGCCATCCCTGATGGCCGCTGGTCAACTGGAAGCCCGCGCACCGCATTGACGCCAAGCGCTGCCCCGGCGGCCAGCCGAAGCGCTGGGCAGTGCGCTCTGGCCCCTTGTAACGCCACGCAGGGGCAGCCGGGACACCAGCCTCACCATGTGCCGCTCTCCGACTTTGTTTCTCTCTCTCTCTCTCTCTCTCCCGCTCTTCTCTTTAATTTCACCGTTACATATATATATATATATACATATATATATATATATATATATATCCATGTGCGCATGAATATTGTACACATACATGCATGCATAGATCTGTAACTATATATAGGTCTGTCTATGTGGATATACATATATATATATAATATTCCTCCCTCCCTCCCTCTCTCCGTACTCCTCCTCCTCCTCTTCCTCCTCCTCCTCCTCCCCCTCCTCCTCCTCCTCCTCCTCCTCCTCCTCCTCCTCCTCCTCCTCCTCCTCCTCCCCTTCCTGCTGGCGACCCAAGTCCTTTCTGCGCTGAGATGGCCTCCTCCCGGCGGCGGGCGGGTCCCGCCAGAGTGCCCGGCCGCCTCAGGGGCCTCCCCCCGGCAGCGGGCGCCGAGGTGTTCCCGAACCGGACCTTCGGCTAAGGCGCCCAGGGGGAGAGGGAAAAGGGAAAGGGGGGGAGGGAGGGGGAGGGGAGCAGGGAGGAGAGGAGGGCGGGGAGGGAGGGAGGAGCAGAGGAGGAGGAGAGGATGAAGCAGGTTAACGTAGTATTTGGAGCGAAGCCCCCTCGTCACCAGCGAAACTTTCAACTTACGTTGAAGTGAGGGGGAGCCCGAGGTTCCCGTGGGCCTCAAGAGACTGTCCTCCTCACTGCGGTCCGAACGGCACCAACGCACTGCTTCCCACGGATCCAGGGAACCATGCAACGCATCAGCTCTGTGCATCTCCAGGGGCTCGGGAACCTCGAGCCTGTAGGAACCTCCATCAGCCTCGGGACCCGAGGCAGAAGAAACACGCAACTCCCCCACCCACGAAGCTCGGATTTCCAACGACGAAGCAACGAGACCCGTTCTTGGGGGGTGGGAATTGCGTCGAGTTGGGATACAGGCCTCTCCGAAGCCTGCTCCGCTGTGTGGCCAACCCTGGGTGGTGGGGCGGCATTGCCTTGGCAAACCGCAGCTGGACCTGACCGAGGCCTGACGTTTTTCTGCGCACTGGCGCCACAGCCCGTGCAAGCCAAAGCAAGCTAGAACTGGCGGTTCCTTTTCCTGCCCATGCACTGTTGCTTGCACAATCGCTCAAGCCTGAGCCAGCCAAGGCTGGAGGCGGTCAGTGCTCCCAGCGACAGAGCTCGATTCCACCGCGGGAGCCGAGGCCGGCTCTCCTCCAGGGTACAATGCGGGCGGGCCAGCTATCCGGGCGGGGGGGGGGGCATTCCCCCGTGCACATGATTAAACCAGGCCCGACTAAGCCCAGTCCCCACAACGCCAAATCAGGACTCTTTTGGGTCATGGCCCGTCATGGCATTTTTTGCGGGGAGGGGGAAGGGGCGGGGAAGGGGGGGAGCAAATCTACAGCTCCTCTTGTCGCCGCTCCGCGTTTTCACTGTGTTGGCACCCCGACTCAAAGATCGTTCCACCAGCAGATGGCCCACGGATGTTTCCACTTCCCCGACGCCCTGGGGACCCGCAGTATTTCCAAGGCGTTTGCGACCCAGGATCGGCGAGAAGGGCGCCCTCATAAATCTCTCTCTTTTGTGGCATGGCTCCTTGCACCGCCGCCGCATCGTGCTCTGGATGTCATTTACTTCGGATCGCTCGCTTCCTGATCTGTGTCACTGCCGGCGGCATCCGTCTTTCACGGATGATGTAGTTTTCGATCGACGATGAAAAAGGTGCCCCCCCCGCTCCAGGGCCTGGGCGGCGAACAACAATCGAGAACGGTTGCTCCCCCGATAGATTTTCGTCGCCGTCGCCTCCCTCCTCGTTGCGTCGTCGTCCTCACGTTGCGCCCCCCCCCCCCCACACTTGCCCCATCCTGGAGGATCGCGCCGCATCGCCGAGGAGTCGGCGGTGCGGTGCGATCAGGAGCCCGAGTTTCGCCACATCGATGCCGCCGATGAGTCAGGAGGGGAAAAAACACACAGACACAATTAATCGCCGACTCCCAGGAAAATAGGGGGAAAGATGGGAAGTGGGGGGACGACAAACACCCAGAACATATTGGATCATATTGGGAACCCTGTCATTCGTGTGTACTTCTTTGTGTGTCCCAGGTCCCCCTCAATGCGACGCCGATGCATCGGCGGTGTGGTGCGCTCCTCCGACCCCGCCCTGCCTGGGCCCCGCTTCGGGCGGCTTCCGCGAGCGCCGTCTGGCCTCGGACGTCTGGCAGCCACCGCTCGCTCCCGTCGTCGGCGTCGTCGGCCGCTCGGCGCCGTTCGTCGTCGTCCTCGCCGTCGTCATCGTTCGCATCGTCCTCGTCGTCGTCGTCCTCCTCCTCCTCCTCATCCTCCTCCTCCTTCTTCTCCTCCTCCTTCTCCTCCTCCTCCTCGCTTGCCCTCCTCCTCCTCCTCCTCCTCCTCCTCCTCGCTTGTCGTCGTCACCGGCCGCGCAGGCGTGCTCGGCGGGCGCCGCTCGAGCTGAGGGCGCGAATGGCGAGGTGCGGCTCACAGGCTGCTTTCCGGCTGCACCTCGCGCGGGGCCCTCCGGGAGACCCTGGCGCTCACGCTGGGCACGTGCACGGTCCGCCCGAGCATTGGAGAGGAGAAAGCGGCATACACAGAGCTTGTCGGAGCTCCGCGCGGATCTCCCGGGTCGGTGTTGGGACCTCCCTGGTTAACGCCTGGGGCGGGTCTGTGCCGCCGTTTGTGTTGCGAGGTCCGACTGCATGTGAATTCATGCAGGCACCTTGGGCACCTCCCTTCGGGTTGTGTCGCCCAGGTGTTCTGTCCGGTCACAAAAAAAGACGCCTCAGGCGCCGTCCTTGACGCTCTCCGCGCGGCAGGGCCCAACGCCGGTCCAAGACACCTGCGCGGACCTCCGAAGGTTACTGTTTGTGCCATTGTTTCTTCCTCTGGAGCAGCTGCCGTAACCGCGTTTCAAGTCGGCCCTGTACTCGGATACAGAAGTGGTAGAGCACCGCCCAGCTATTTGAACTGTTCTCTCCGGGCGAGGGCCTGGATGGTTTGCGTGATGTCATCAGATCGAAGGCCTTGGGCTGAAGAGGGACGTACTACCGAAATTCGCCATACGAGGGTCAGATTGTTGTAGACTGGTTCTGCGTCCATGAACTGAGTTGATGTGTTGAGCTGTATGTCCTCGAAATCAAGCATCTTGCCGGACGGTAAACCTATATGCGTGCGCGTGGAGCCACTGATGCCCTCTGCTCCAGATGTTGCTAGATGGTCCCGAGATCTCTGGGTGTGCTGGATACAAGTGACGGTTCACGAATCAACGAATTGAGTTGACGGTTGCAGGATATTGCCCTTGTCTTCCCCCCACAAGTGCGTTCTTCTGCGTCTCGAGAGGCTCCTTCCATCAAGGCGACACCGTTGACGAGGAGGTTGAGCATGAGGAGGAGGAGGAGGAGGAGGAGGAGGAGGAGGAGGAGAACGAGCATGCGAGGCAATAGGAGGAGGTGGCCTGGTCACAGAAGGAGGAAGAGGAGCAGCAGTGGCATAATGAAAAGAGATGGGTCAGGAAGCGGAGGAGGAGGGGGAGGAGGCGGGGGGGGGAAGAGGACCAGGAGGACGCACAGTATCAGCAGGATCGCTAGCAGGCGGAGGATACGGAGCAGGAGCAGGAAGTCATGCAGCAGTACGTTGAGAATGAGGACGACGAGGCGGAGGAGGAGGAGGAGGGGGAAGACAGGGGGAAAGGCGGGCGGTCCGCCTACAGCGGTTCGACCGTGGCAGAAGCCCACGTTTTTGAGCACCGCGTCGCCGCCCGCCGTGGACGCCTTGCCTTTCACTACCAGACGGGCCGTAGGGACGCGTCGCGAACGCACCTGTCAGGACGCGGAAACGAACGCGATGCCGGGGGGACGGCCGAATCGGCGGGCAGCGGCAGTGTGAGGCATCAGTTGCGAAGTACTACTTGCGAGCGTCGCCAGGGCGCGCACGTGCGTACGCACCGCACCTATCGTTGCGGTTCAAGCCATGCGCCTTGCATGAGGAGGAGGAGGAGGAGGAGGAGGAGGAGGACGACGACGCGGATAAATACAAGGGGGAGGAGGATAATGATAAGGAATGGGGCCCGAACTCATGGGACGAGCGGTGGGCGAAGAGCGGCGGTGGGCAACGGCAGCAGGCAGTGATGATTCCCTGTTCGTCTCTTGGTCTTGTTCCTCGCCACGTTGATCAGTCCCGCTTGTTCCTCTTATTCTCGTCCTCTCCTCATCCCTTCCAGTCCCCTCTGCCGCTCTCCTCCCTTCCTCCCCTCCCCCCCTCCCTCCCTCTGCCCGCTGTTCCAAGCCTCCCTCCCCGGAGGTTCGTGAGCTTCTCTTGCGCCGGCGGCCGCAGCGCGGGCGCGTGTGCTCAAGATGGACAACCGCTCTCGACGGCGGAGATGGTTCAAGATTGAGCGGCGCGCGCGGGGACGGGAGCCTGATCCCCGCGGCCCTGGCAGAAGCGTGCTGTCACCCCTCCTGCCGACCCCCCGGATAACCGACGTCGAGAAGACACAGCGTCCAACCCCGTCTCGCCGCCGTGCTCTCAAGCAGGACCGATCCACGCGAGCCCCGCGCCCTGGACGCTTGACGGCGACATTTCTCATCGTGTGTTCTCGGCAGGTTCGCGCTGCGTCATTGCAGCGGCGACGCCAACGCAGGCAGTCAAGGTTGCACGTCGCCGGTGGCCCAGAATCGGCCGATATCGAACGCTCAGCGCTCGTCGTGAAGCCGCGGTCGCTGGCAAGCACTCCTGATGCATGCCCGCGCAGATGAGGCAAGCACACACAGATATGGATGACCACCAGCGGGTAACTATACTACAGTAGAAATTCGCCATCAGCCACCCGAGCTTCAACGCCGTTCACTTCTTCAGCGGCAGGAGGAGGATGGGAGACACCAAGTTCTACTTTGGAAAAATGCTTGCTAGCAAGGGACCGCGCCAACATATACGTGCTCTGTGTCGACATCATCCACGGCGAGAAGAGCGACGTTGGCAACCCCGAGGCGCGTGCCTTCTTGTGCACAGCGGGAAGCCAAGGCAGGTTGGTGGCCTGGCCTGCTGGACCACCGTGCGGAACGTGGTCCGCAGCGCGCTTGAACATAATCGAAGGCGTCCGAAAACAACCTCGCCCAATTCGCAGCGCCAGCGCAATTTGGGGACCCCCGAAGGCCAGCATGAAGAAAATGGCCCAGCTGCAGGTTGGCAACCTGCTGCTTCGCTTCACGTTTCTGGCAGCGCAGATCAGCACCCACTCAGACACCGTGGGCAATGGCGAGCACCCAGGCCTTCGGACATGGCGGTTTCAAGCACCGAGCATCCGGTTTCTGTTCGGAGAGGCGGCAGCGAAAACCGACGGGGGGGCAGAGCGCGTGTCCTTCCACCAGTGCATGCTAGGCGCTGAGACCATGAAGCCCACGAGGCTGCCCACTGTCAACGCCGGCTGCCCATCGTCAACGCCAGCTACACGAAGCACCTGATAGAGCAGCTCCCCAATCGAGGACGCTGCGACCGCTGCCGAGGAGCTCACCCTCAGCTGCTCGGAGAAGACCCCGTACAAGGACGAGTTCGCACGTTCGGGGCCAGAGCGTTCCCAACGCGCATGAGCCAGCTCCTCGCGGAGGGCATCCAGCAGCGCATCGACGAGGGCTACCAGGAGAAACCCGAGCTGCCCGTCGAAGCGGAGTCCCTCGCGAGCGGGCAGCGGCAGCCGGCCCTGATGCCTTCGAGGGGCCAAGCGGCAGCGGTTTCAGCCCCCCCCCGCTGCGGCCTGAGGGGCCCGGTAGTAGCGAGGCATAACGCCTTCGCAATATTCACGCTTCGCGCATCCCCACCAGCGATCGTCTTCCCGGTGGTCTCGCCTCCGGGATGGCTGCACGTCGGCCGCCTGGCTCTCTGGGCAGCTCCTGCAGCTCGCCTTCAGCCCCCGTCGCCACTCAGCTTCCCTCGGCGGCAGCTTTGACAGCCGTGAGTGCGCTCGCTGGGTAATTAGGCTCCGCCCGTAGCCCGGGTCGACCTTTGACGCCGCCTGCGCCTTCCCTTGCGGCTGCGACCAAAAAAATCCCCACCAGTCTGAGCGCCGCGCGGCCCGCCCCGGCTAGTCTCACCTCCCGCTGTTCTCTTGTCGTTTCTTTTTTCCTCTCTCTCTGTCTCAAGTGCAAATTCGGCTCCTGCTTGTTAGCTGTAGCTTTGGACGGCGCGCGGCCCTTCCGCTTACGCTCGCTAACCAAAAATATCCCCACCAGCCCATCCAGAAGACTTGCCGACGAGAGCTGACGGGAAAAGGGACGAAGGGACACATCTAGGGAAACAAAGCGAACAACCAGGATGAACCGAGAGATTTCTGGGAGCAAGGGGGTGGCCTTGGAAGGCCTCTTCGGGCCATCCCTGGGGGCCGCGTGGGGGCGAGGGGAAGAGGAGGAGGACGAGGTGGAGGAGGTGGAGGGATCCAAAGAGTGTGGTCCCTGGTGCTGCTGCTGCTGGTGGTGCTGCTGATGTTGTTGCTGCCTCTGCTGGTGCTGCGGCTAGTGCCCTGGAAGGCCTGTTGGGGCCGCCTAGGAAAGCATCGATCAAAAGATGGGGGGTCCTCGATTTCGGCCCCCTCCCAGGAGCCCTCGAAATCGCCTCTTGGAGCTCTCCTGGGGCTCTTTGGGAGTGTATTGGAGCTCTCTTGGTGCTCTTATAGCCGTCCTGGGGCCCTCTTGGGGCTCTCCTGGGGCCCTCTTGGAAGCCCTGTAAGGCCTCTTGGGGCCATCTTGAAGGCCATCGATCAAAGGAGAGATGGGGCAACGTTCGCCCCTCCCCCCCCCTCCCAAAGAGGCCAACATGGGGCCAACACCTTAGTAACACCATAGATTTTGGCGCCCAGAGTGCTGGTGGGATAACGTTCGGCCCCCCCCGAAGAGGCCAACATGGGGCCAACACCTGAGGAAAACGAATGATTTTGGCGCCCAGGGGGCTGGTGGGGCCACGTCCGGTCCCCCCCCCAAAGAGACCAACATGGGGCCAACACCTTAGTAAACCACAGATTTTGGCTTCCTCGCCGAGGCCGTTTTGGACGCCCTGACACTTCGCGGACCCCCTTGAAAAAAGTCCAAACAAGTCCAGGGGAGGGGTAAGGGGAGGGGTAAACCCTTCCCCGTAGGGGAAGGGGTTTTTTTTTTGGAAGAGGGAAGAATAATCTCGTTTGATCACCTGTCGCCCAAAGGGCTGGTGGGATTTATCTGCGCATCTCTCACTGCGGCTTGCACGATCGGCTCCGAACGCGCCAAACAAACAACGACGGGGTAGGAGGAGAACATTGTGGTGGAGCAGGAGGAGGAGGAGCAGGAGGAGCAGGAGGAACAGAAGGAGGAGGAGGAGCATGAGGACGAGGAGGAGAAGGAGGAGGAGGACCTGTTTTTTCCCCCGAGATGCCGAGCGTGGCGAGCGCCCCCCCCCAAGCTCGGGCGCGCCGCTGCGCTCGCGCGCCGCGCGCGGGCCGAGGGGTGCGATGCCGTGGTGCCGCGGGCTCGCGCACGGTCTCGGCGCCGAGTTGCTCGCAGGACGCGGCCGTCGTCGTCCTCCAGCCTCCCCTCGCCATGTGTCCCCGCGTGCCCGAGCCGGAGGGGTCCTCCTCCTCCGCCTTCTCCTCCTCCTATTATCCTCCTCTGCTTCTACTCCGCTTCTCTTGAGACCCTGGCGTCGCAGTGTTTTCCCATGGGGCGTGTCCGCCCCGTTTCGAGCCCTGGGGCCATCACAGACCGCTGCAGCTCGAAAAAGCAGCCGAAACCTGGGGTGCAGGGCTCTGTCATGACTGTTCGCGATGTTGCATTGTTTCGCAACGTCGGATCGCAGGGTCGCCCCCTTCGCTAGTCCCCATCGTTAGTCCCTCTCCTGGTCCTCCTCGTCCCCGTCGCCGGTCCTCCTCCCCGAGGCACCTGATGCATGGCCCCCCCGCCCTCAACATCGGTCCCACGAGTCGGGCACTGGACGTTTGGGGCCCCATGCTCAACCTCGGTCCCCCGAGTCGGGGGACTGATTTTGATGACGGGGTGCCCGACCTCGTTCCGGGGGGCCCGTGCCAGCCAGAACTCCGGGATCCGCCCGTGGCGAGGAGGGCGCTTGTTGAACGCCTTAAACGGTAGCAGGGTTGTCAGGAGTTTCGGTGTTCTCGATCCTCGGCCCCTCGACGCTCGTCTCCTCGGCCCCACACCAGCGTGGATCCTCGATCATCCTCTCGTGCCTGTCGGGGCTTGTGAGCAGGAGGCTCGGCACGGGTGGGCCTACCGCAGCATCGCTGGCGCATCCCGAGCTCCCTCGGGCCCTCGGCTCCCCTCCAAAGCCTTCAGAACTGCGGACCGTGTCCTCCATCCTCGAGGGCGAAGCCCTCGGCACCTCCCACCAGGCAAGCTGGTGAGAGGGTAAAGAAAGCCATATGTCAGCCTGGGCCCTGTCGGTCCAGTACAGTTCGAGAAACAGCCCAGCCGGTACAATTCCAGACATATTCCGGGTCAGCATTTGCATTGTTCAGCGTTGCTTTTTTGAAGTAGCTTGCAGCTCGGATATAAAGGTAGGGGAGCGGGGGAAGGACGAACCGAACGGCGGACACGATGGAGGGGGATATTGGAGGGGGAGAGTAGTAGGAGGGAGACTGTCCTGCGGCAGCCAGCGTGCGCGTGCAGGTGGGGCCCGAGCGTGAGTCCCAGCCCGCGGGAGGGAGCCGAGACCCACCTCGGAGCGCCTTTCCTCCTCCTCCTCCTTCTCCTCCTCCTCCTCCATCCCTGCTCCTTCCAATGAACTCCTCCCTGTCGCACCCCGAGGACAGTCGGAAGGGCGGGCCGAGCGTTTCGCTTGAGACTTCTTCACACTTGATGGTCCTGAAGCTGAATTGGTAACGGCTTCACAGATGGAGGGCGGGCCGCTTCCAAAATGTTGTTCTCGCTGTCGCGCCGCGCACAAGCGTTCTTAATCATTTGCAGAGGGTTCACGGATTGAGGGCGGGCCGTTTCCAAAACGCGGCTCTCGTCTTAGCGCCGCGCACACTCGTCTTAAACAGTTGCAAGAGTTTTCACGGCTTGAGGGCGGGCCGTTTTCAACATCCAGCTCTCGTCTTAACGCCGCGCACAGTAGTCTTAGTAAGCATAATGTTCAAGGATTCCCATGGTTGATGTATTAGAAACTGCGTTTTGGAACGATTTGGGACGGTCAGGGCACAACAGTTATGATGATGATGTGCGGTGTTGAAATCCCAGAAATAGCGTCCTAACACGATTCGGGAGGTCAAGACGCAACAGTCAAGTTGACCCGTGGCGTTGAAGTTCCGAGAATGGTGTTTTGGCACGCTTCAGGACCTTCCGACGGTTGTTCCCAGCAGGGCATTTTCTTAGTGAAAATGAACCCTCGTATGGGGCCTATGAAGAGGGTACTTGCAGGGAGGGCTTATTAAATCATCGTTAATGAGTCCTGGGTTTGCACTGGTCCTCCTCCTCCTCCTCTTCCGCGTTCTCCTCCTTCTCCTTCTCCTCCTCCTCTCTCTATCATCCTGTCTTATCCTCCCGCGTCCTCCCTCCTCATCCCTCCCTGTCTTCCCTTCTGCTTCCTTTTCCCCTCCTCATTCCCCCAATGCTGTGTCCTCTTGCTGATGCCTCTTCCTCGTCCCTCCTCCACCTCCTCCTTCGCCACCTCCTCCTCCTCGCTCATCACCCTCATCCCTCCTCGTTCTCCTCATTCCCCTCATGATGCCGTTTCCTCCCCTTTCCTTTTCCTCCTCCTGCTTCCTCCCTTCTCCTCCCCCTGCTCCTTCCCCGGGAAAAGTCGTTCTCCCGTTGCACGGTTCGTTCCCTGGTGAACGGGTTTGTTCCCCAGTACGTAGTTTTCCAAGGGGTCGTTCCCCGGGAGATTCTTGCTTTCCTTGCACCCCCCAGATTTACCAAAGCGGCTTCCTAAAATTCACCAAAACCCGAGTTAGTTCCCCGGTGAGGCTTCGGAAGGGTTTCTGAAGACCCTTTGAAGTGCCTCTGAAGAAACCTCTGAAGAGAGCCTCTGGAGAGCCTCTGAAGTGCGTCTGGAGAGCTTCTGGAGAGCTTCTGAAGGGCCTGTGAAAGGCCTTCTGCGATCCCCCGAAGTTCTGATGCATCCTAAGGGATCTCGAGGGATCCCAAGGAATTCTGAGGGACCGTGAGGGAGCCCGACGGATCCTGAAGGATCCTGACTGATCCCGTCGAATGCTGAGGGATCCGTCGGGGTCCCGAGGAACTCCGGAGGATGTTGTTAGCAGTACGACCATTGTTATATCCGATATTGTTTTTACCATTACGACTGCTACTACTACTACTACTACTACTACTACTACTGCTACTACTACTACTACTACTACTACTACTACTACTACTACTACTACTCTTACTATTACTACTACTACTACTACTACTACTACTCCTACTACGACTACTACTACTACTATTACTACTACTACTACTACTACTACTACTACTACTACTAATACTAATACTAATACTGATACCATTACTACTACCACTACTACTATCTATATTTCTTACTATTAACAATACGACTACTAGTACTACATTCTGATAGAAGTAGTACTACTACTACTTCTACTTCTAATTCGACGACTACTCCTACTGTTACTACTACCACTACTACTACTGCGAGTACGGCAACTACTACTACTACTACTACCACTACTACTATTATGACGACTACTACTACAACTACAACTACCACTACCACTGCCACTACTACTACTACTACTACTACTACTACTACTACTATCCCTATCACGAATACTACTACTACTACTACCACTACTACTACTACTACTACCACTACTACTACTACTTCTTCTTCTACTACTACTACCACTACTACTACTACGGCTACGACTACGAGTACGACTACTACGATTATTCCGACGACTACTACGAGCTACGACTATTACGCCTACTACTAGTAACTATTAGTTCTCCTACGACGACGATTCCCATTACTACTACTGCTAATGCTACTATTCGTAATACGAAGAAAATTATTACGGCCACTATTATTATTGCTATTATTACTACTACTACTACGACGACTACTACTACTGAGACGATACTACTAGTACGACCACAACTACTCGTACTGTTATTACTACAACTACAATTACTACTGCTACGAATACTAATACTACTCGTACGACTTCTACTACGACTACCACTACGAACACACATGCTACTTCTGCTTCTACAACTATTACTTGTACTGCTACTGCCCTCACTATGACTACCACAGCTACTAGGACTACAACTACAACTACGATTACTACTACTACTACTACTACTACTACTACGGCTATTGCTATCACTACTACTACTACTACTACTACTACTACTACCACGAATACTTTTACTATTACTATCACGAACACGACTACCACTACGACTACGAGCACTACTATTTTTATTACTACTACTACTACTACTACTATTTTTACTACTACTACTACTACTACTAGTATTACTACCACTACTACGATTACTACTACTACGATTACTACTACTACCGCTACTACTATTACTACTACTACTTCATTTACTACTACTACTACTACTACTACTACTACTACTAGTACTACTACTACTACTACCACCATTACGACGACTCGTACCACTGCTGCGGGTATTGCCAGTACTACCACTACTACTCCTACTACGGTCCCTATTGACCATCACTACGGTCACTACAACTACTACTGTTACTACTGCTACGATCACTACATGTATTAGTACCACTACTACTGGTACCACTACTACTGCCACTACTACTACTGCTTCTACTACTACTGCTACTACTACTGCAACGACTAGTTCGACCAGCACTATTATTACGACTACTATCGCGAACATTACTACCACTAACACGACCACTATTGCTACCATTGCTACTACGACCAATATTCCTGCGGCTATTGCTATCACGTCCATGACTTTTACGATCACTAGTATTATAACCACTACTATGATACGTACTACCCGTACTTTCTATCATCATCTCTATTTCTACCACTCCAGAAACTCCTGCTAGCACCACTACTGCGACTACCATTGCTGCTGCTAGTATTATCCTGACTACTATTCATCTTATTACTGCCATTACTATCACTGCGGCTACTACTACCACTACTACCATGACTACTTCTACGACTACTACTACTACTACTACTACTACTACTGCTGCTGCTGCTGCTACTACTACTACTACGACTACGACTACTACGAATGCTATTAGCGCTAGTACTGTTACTATTACCGATACTACTATCACTGCTAGTACTACTACTACTACTACTACTACCACTACTACTACTACTACTACTGCTACTACTACTACTACTACTACTACTACAACTACTATTATTACTATCAGTACGGCGACTAGTCCTATCACCACCATTACTATGACGAGGAGAGGCAGTACTACGACTACGAGCGCTAATATTTCATAGGCTACCCGCAATGCTGCTGCACCGATTAGTATGACTATGATTAGTACGAGTCCGATTTTTATAATGTTTCTACCGCTACCACCACAACCACCACTACGACCCTAAGAACCCTTCTCATTACTCCTAGCACTACGGTTACCACTTCTGCCAGTGTTATTTATCACTACCATTACTACGCATGCTTCTTCGATTGCGCTCAATATTATCCCCATTACTACTACTACTACTACTACTACTACTACTACTGCTACTATTAGTACTACTACTACCACTACTACTACGACTACTTCTACTACTACTACTACTACTACGACTACTACTACGACTACTACTACTACTACTACTACTACTACTACTTCTACTACTATTACTACTACTACTACTACTACGACTACTACTGCTTCTACGATTACTACTACGACTACTACTGTTACGACTCCTACTCCTACTGCTGCTACTATTGTTACTGCTACCTCTCGTATTATTGATTTTGCTGCTACGGCTATTATTATAACTACTACCACGAACACGACTACGACTACTACTTCTACTGCTACTACTACTACTACTACTGCTACTACTACTACTACGACTACGATGACGACCACGAGTACTACTATTATTACTACTACTACTACTACTACGACGACTACTGCGACTACTGTTACTACTACTTGTACTACTATTACGACTAATATTACTACTAGTACTACCACTACTACTACTACTACTACTACTACTACTACTACTATTACTACTACTACTACTACGACTACTACAACTACCAGCGCTGTGTGTACAACTAGTTCGATTCGCATTCTATTCGCCAGTACAACCGTTACTTTTACTAGTATTTCAGTTACTACTACCACTACTACTACCTTCTCGTCTCCGCATGCGCGTGCGACTGCGTACCCTATAGCACTGTCGCTGCTACCACTACTGCTACTTGTAGCACTGCGACTATTTTCAATGTGTACACTTACTATGACTACTACTACTACCACCACTACTACTACTACTACTCCTACTACTACTACTACTACTGCTACTACTACTACGACTACGACTACTACCTAGTACTACTACTACTACTACTACTACTACTACTACTGCAAATTCAACTTCGGCAATCGCCACGACCATGTTGACCATCGATACCTCCGGCTGCTATTGATACGACTATCAGTAGTAGTAGTAGTAGTAGCAGTAGTAGTAGTAGTATCACTACTACTACGACTGTCCCCGCTGCCACTACTACTACTACTACTACTACTACTACTACTACTACTACTATTATTACTATGACTACTACTACGATTGCTATTACTACTACTATCACTACTACTACTGCTACTACTACTACTACTACTACTGCAACGACGACGACGACGACGACGAAGACGACTACTACGACGACTACTACGACGACTACTACTACTACTACGACTACTACTACTCCTACGACCACTACCACTACTACGACTGCGACTACGACTACGACTACAACTACTACTACTACGACTACTACTACTACCACTACTACTACTACTACTACTACGACTACTACTACTACTACTACTACTACTACCAGTTTTAGTAGTAGTAGTAGTACTACTACTACTACTACGACTACGCTACTACTACTACTACTAACTACTACTACTACTACTACTACTACGACTACTACTACTACTACTACTACTACTACTACTACTACTACTACTACTACTACTACTACTCTACTACTACTACTACTACTACTACTACTACTACTACTACTACTACTACGACGACGACGACGACGACGACGACGACGACGACGACGACGACGACGACGACTACTACTACTACTACTACTACTACTACTATTAGTACTACTAGTACGACTACTCGTACTTCTATTCGGAAATATATTTGCATTGGCATTCCTACTACTGCTGCTACTTCTACCACGCCCACTGTCACAACCACCCTCATGAACACGACCACGACCACAACCAAACGATTACAGAACTTCTCAAAACTCCAGTGGCTTCCTGAACGCATCCAGCGTGACGATTTATGTGGGATTCCTGGAGGGGTTCGTTCCCCGGCCGCATTTCGGTTGACATGGGTGGAACAGTAAATGGTGCTGTATACGGTAGTTCATGGAGTTGCTTGTCTTTTTCAATTGCTTTTGGAGGCTCCTGAGATGCCCCACAAAAGAATACAATATTTGAAAATCTCGACCGGGGAACAAACCGTCCACAGCTTTTCATCTTCCACCGGGACAAATCCCTTCCACAGGGGGCCGCACCCTTCCACCAGGGAGCGAACTTCTCGCCTCCTTCCCCTCCTCCTGCCGCCCCCTCCTCCCCCCCACCCCCTCCTCGTCGATCCCCCGCCCCCAGGCGGCGCCCCCGCAGAGGGGCACGGCGCCGCTGGGCTGCTCGGAGGGCCCAGCGCGGACGATGCCGCCGTCGGCTCTGGTGCGCTGGGCGCCCGCCTGCGGGCGAGGAGGCCTGGCCCCCACGCTGCGGGCAGAGGGGCGCTGTCGTCCTCTTTCCCCCCTCCCGCCTCGTCCTTGCTCCTCGGCATTCCTTCTCGTCCCTCGTTCCTCCTCCCTCGTCCCTCCTCCCTCTTCTCCTCCTCCTCCTCCTTCGCCTCCTCCCTCCTCCCTCCTCCTCCTCCTTCTCCCTTCTCCTCCTCCTCCTCCTCCTCCTCCTCCTCCTCCTTCTCATCCTCCTCCTCGTTATCTCTCCTCATTCTTCCTCCTTGGGCGCGTGCGCGGGGGTGAGGGGGAGGTGACGGGGAGTTGGAGGAGGAGGAGGAGGAGGAGGAGAGGAAGGAGCCGGAGGAGGGGGAGGGGCAGGGGAGGAGGAAGACAAATCATAATGGTGGGGGGGAGGAGCTGGAGGAGAACTAGGCCCTGATTCTGCTGTACTTCGCTCTGGGCTGTTCGTGAATGTGTCCGACTGGTTGGGGTGGGGGGGTGAGGCAATGCTCGTAGACACGGCCTGTCCGAGCTATATGATAGAACCTGAGGAGATGGGCGAGGAGGAGGAGGAGGACGAAAAATACGAGGAGGGGCAGGAGGGGGAATCGGATAACAATGAGGTTGAACAGGGCAAAGAGAATTATGACGATGAGTAGAGGGAGGAATGCGATTGCGGTGTTGACATGGGTTTTCGCGGGAGGGGCAGGATGAGGAAAGGAACGAGAATGGAGGAGGGAGAGAATGAGAGGGAGAAAGAAGTCGGCAGGAAGGAGGCGAAGGATGAGGGGGGGAGAAGGTTGCGAAGACGGGGAAGCAGACGTTGAGGATGAACAGTGCTGCAGGAGAAAGAGGGTATGATGAGGAGGATGAGGATGACAAGGAGCAGGAGAAGGATCAACAGGAGAAGGAGGGGGAACGGAAATGCAGGGGGGGCGGGGAGGAGGTTGAAGATGAAGATGCGGTTGGCAGCTGGTTTAGGGAGCGAGCAGGAGAGAGTGTAGGATGCGGCAGAGCGAGGAGGAGGCAGACGAGGAAGACGATGAGACAGTTGGCCGGCACGAAGGCGAACCTAGATGATGGGGGGTCTTGGGCCACTGACTCCAGGCAAGGTCCAGGCCAGCCAAGTGCACGCTGGTGGTCTGGGGCCCGCGCGCTCGGGTACTGGCAGGCCTGCCGATCGCTTCTCCCGCTCGGCGTATGCCTGCCAGCTCAGAGGCCCTGGTGCCACATGGACTGGGTGCCTCGCTGAAGGGCATCGTGCCGCGTGCTGTCGCCGGTGCCTCGCCAGGGGCTCGCCAGGCGGTCTGTGCAAGCCTGCCGGGCCGCGCCGCGGGGAATACATATATATATATATATATATATATATATAACCTCAGGAAGGCATGAAGAACCCCCCCCCCCCTTTTCCGGTGGATTATAACGCCCCCGCACCCTGGAGCGTTATGGCCGCACCGGAAGACCTGGCTGAGGGGACTCGGGGCCTTAGCCGAGGCTTAGCAGGCTCAGAGTACTCAGACTCACTCACACTCAGAATTCTTGCGTGCCCGCTCCTCGGGCTCTCTCGTATTTCTGGGTCCGCGGGTGCTAAGATAACGCGGGGGTGCGGGGCAGGGGGTTACCCTGCGGTGGGCCCCCCCCTTGGAAGGCCGACGAAAGTTTATTTCTTTAAGGGGGATGTAAAAGGAATCGCAACGACGACGAACGACGACGACGAACGACGACGAATGACGAACGACGAACGACGGACGACGAACGACGAACGACACCCACTGAGCGTAACTGGCTTAGCAGGGCTTGGCAGAGCTTAGCAGGGCTGATCAGAGCTTGGCAGGGTTCAACAGGGCTTAGCAGGGCTTAGCAGGGCCTAGCAGGGCCTAGCAGTGCGTGCTTATCAGGGTTTCGCAGGGCTGAGCAAGGCTTAGCAAGGCTTAGCTGGGCGTAGCAAGGCTTAGCAGTGCTTGGCAGAGTTTAGCAAGGCTTTGCAAGACGTGCCAGGGATAAAGGTGCACAAAGATCTGGGCTAGATCCTTGACATTCGTCACGACACCCTCTCTTGGCGTTAGTGGGGCGGCCGCCGATGGTGGATTTTGTTTTCTGTGTGCGGCGGGAGCTAAGTGTATCGTTCGGCTAAAACTGCCCGCCTGGAATATTGAGAAAACCGGGTGCTAAGAATAACCCAGGGGGGTTTCTTAATGCCTTCCTGAGGTTAGTCCTCGGCGGCCCGACGACCCAGCGTGGAGAGATTGCGGCATCACGAACGCTGAGAATCTGCCTGGTGCGATCCGGGTCGAGGGTGGCAACCGTTGGGGGCGGCCCCTCCGTTCTCCTCGTTTCTGGAGGTCCCTCTTTGCCCTCCTGTCCATCCTCCATCTCCCCGTTCTCCTCCATGTCCCTCGCCCCTTTGTCCTCCTCCTTCCCCTCCCCCTCTTCCCCCTCCGCCGCGGCTTCTTCACCTCCTCTTCCTCCTCCTCTACTCGACCGCCGCCTCCTCCTTCTCATGCTCCTGTCCTTCCCTCCCTCCCCTGCCTCCTCCCCTTCCTCCTACCGGCCGCGCCCTTCCTCTTCGCCCTCCTCCCTCCTCCCCGCTCCTCGTCCTCCTCGTCTTCCGCCTCGCCCTCCTCCGCGCGAAGAGTCTTCGCCCTCCTCCTCGCCCTCCTCCCTCCTCCCCGCTCCGCCTCCCCCTCCTCGCCGCCCGCCTCCTGCCGCAGAAAGGGAAAGGTCAGAGCGTGAATTACCTACCCCGCTTTCGCTTCCAGGCAAAGCCAAGTCATACCACGCGCCTCCCCGTCAAGCGGCCTAACCAGTACAGGCCGTAGTTTGGCATCGCTTGGTATCTCTTGGAAGCGAGGGCGGTCAAAAGCGAGGTAAGTTTGTTTTCCCCCTAAAAGAGGGGGGGGGGGGGGGGCCAGCAGCGGGGGTGGACAGCCGAAGGGTGGGCACCACGCGTGTTCCAGGGGCTCCGACCGCCGCCCCGCCCAGCACGCCATAGCCGAGGCCCTCGGGCGAACGCCGCGTGCAGTACGCGAAGGCCCTCGGGCTCGTCCACGGTCTGACCTCGGAACCTCGAGGAGAATCGAACCTGGTCGCGTCGACGAGGAGCCCCCTGCAGAGGATTACCAGGATCACCGCCTTGACAAGAGTCAACACAGACCTGCATGCTGAGGCCACCTCCTGAACTCCCCTGCGTACTAGACGACCCAGTAGAGAACCACAGCGAAAGGGTACGAGAAGACCACGACAGCGAAGTCTATGGAGCACAAAGTGATGACATAGCGAATCACAGGAGGACCAGCGGGGTCCAGAAACCTGCACCCTCGAGCCCCGAGCATCGACCGGCGCCTCCACCCCAGACGTCCGACGATGCATCTTTCCCGCTGCGCGGCCTCAGAGGTGTCCGACCCCTCTAATGGGGTGTAGTTCTTCGTCCCAGCTCCATGTCTGACCGTCCCAGGGACAGTTAGCGGGCCCATGAGGCCGAAATCCAGGAGAAACTTCGGGATGGAACAAATCAGGAGGAGAAAAAACACACAGACACAACTAATCGTCGATTCCCCAGAAACTATGGGAAAAGATGGGAAGTGGGGGGGAAAACAAAACCCCCGAAAATAAGGGAAAATATGGGGAATATTTTTATTTGTGTGCATTTATTTGTGTGTCCTGGGGCCCCTTTAACAAATCGTATCATCGGAGATCTGCAGACTGCCGCGCGCAGGTCGCACCTCGCCGCCGCCTGGGGGACCTCCTTCGCCGGCGGGGAGCACCCCGTCATAATCGTGAGCGGCATGACGGCCAAAAAGGACAGGCCCCAGCGGCCGGCCGCTGAGCGGCGGCGAGGCGGGAGGAGGAGTGTAAGGAGGTCGGCAGAGGGGGTGGAGAAGGGGCGGAGGAGGAGAGGAAGAGCGGATGCTGGAAGAATAGGGAGGGGAGGAGGGAGATGAGGATGAGGAAGAGGGGGAGGAGAGAAGGAGAGAAGGAGAGAAGGATCAGGACATGAGGCAAGAGGAGAAGGAGGAGGAGGAGGAGACGCAGGATGAGGAGGAGGAGGACCAGTGCAAACTCAAGAGTCATCAACGATGTTGGAATGAACCCTCCCTCCAAGCTCCCTCTTCATAGGCCCCATACAACGGTTCATTTCCACCGAGGGAACTGCCTCGTTGGAAGTCAACCGTTTGAAGACCTGAAGCCTGCCAAAACATTGTTCTCGGGATTCCAACGCCACTGGTCAACCTGACTGTTGCGTCTTAACGAGCCTGAATCGTGCCAGAACGCCTTTCCTGGGACGTAAGCACTGCGAACCAACGCAACTGTTGCACCCTCATAAACCTGAATCCTTCATTCACACCATGTCCGGTAGGCTGATCACGGGAACCCGTGAAGCTCTTGCGTCTTTGATTTTTTCCAAAACAAAAAACGAATGTGCGCGGCGCTAAGGCAAAAACCACATCTTGAAAAGCAACCGCCCTCAATCCGAGAAAATCTGGCAAATGTTTTATAACGACTGTGCGCGGCGCTAATGCGCGAGCCACATTTTGAAAACCAACCACCCTCAACCCGTGAAGCGCTTGCAATGTTTTACAACGAATGTGGGCTGCGCTAAGGCGAGAGCCACATTTTGAAAACGACCTGCCCTCCATCTTTGAAACTTCTGCCAACTTTTAACCTCAGGGTCATAAGTGGTCAGGAAGTCTCAGGCGAAACGCCCAGCCCACCCAAAAACTTGCTTCGGGTGCGACAAGGAAAACTTCTTCCTCATAAGGAAATGGAATGGAAGAAGAGGAGGAGGAGGAGAAGGAGGAGGAGAAGGGGGATCAAGAGTTGAGGCAAGAGGGCAAGAGCAGGCGCATGAGGAGGATGCTGAAGCAGGAAGAGAAGAGGAGAGGAGGAGTAATAGTTGGATACGGCGTGGATGAGGATGATGTGGATGAAGAGGAGGAGGAGGAGGAGGAGGAGGAGGACCAAAAGGAAAAGGAGGAAGCGAACGACCAGAAAGAACAATAATGCTGCATTGAGGAGCATGAGGAGGATGAGGATGATGAGGTGAGGGGATTGCGAAGTCTGCTGCGTGCAACGGGTTCCGGACCCGCCGCTCGGCCCGCTCTTCGATGCACACGGTCGTCTCCCGGCGCCCCCGTGCGCCGAGGACAGCGGCCGCGTGCAGCTGACTCACGGATCCCCCCCTGGTTATCCCCCCCCATCTGGTTATCCCCCCTGGTTATCCCCCCCTGGTTATCCCCCCCTGGTTATCCCCCCCCATCTGGTTATCCCCCCTGGTTATCCCCCCCTGGTTATCCCCCCCTGGTTATCCCCCCTGGTTATCCCCCCCTGGTTATCCCCCCCCACCTTCCTCCGCGGCAGCGTTCGGGGGGCTAGGCTTCAGGGGGGACGCCTCGACCCCCCACCGCCCATTCATATCGCCGCTATAGGAGCCCGACCGCCCGCCCCGCCCAGGCACGTGCGGATTTTCGCAGTCTCGGGGGCCAATCGCAGATCTATCGGCGATGTGTCGCCCGATTCGAGGTCGATGCTTTCTCCTTGTAAGCCAGTCCCCCCCCTGTCGTTCCCTCTCGCGGTGGCGATCCCCCCCCGCGCCGTCCGTCTGCCCCGGGCGGGAGGATCGGGGGGGCGAGGGCGACGACGAAGGGGCGAGACAAAGAGGGCGAAGGGGCGAGGGCGAGACGAAGGGACGAGGGCGACGAGGGGGAGTCCCAAGGTTTCCAGCACCTCTGGTATTCCCTGATTCTCTACATCGGCTGCGGAAAGCAAGGGGGCCGCCAGATGCTCTGGACGTCCTGGAACGCCTCCTGGTCCACGCTTACCATGCCATCGCTCTCTGCCCAAAAGATGACGAGGACGAGGACGTACGGGAAGAGGTAGTGGACATGGGGGCCGAGCCACACCGAAAGCCCCGGTCCCGGGGGCTCGAGCAAGGGGCTCGCGCCGAGCCCGTGCGGAGCCCCGAGGAGATGTGCCTCGTGGTCGGGCACGGCCACGTGGGCGCGGAAGGCGCCCGAGCCGGGAGCCAGGAGGAGGAGCAACCAAGAGAGTTTTTGTTATACAAGTCCCGGGCGATAGCGGGCGTTACAGAGGGGGGGGGAGGGGCACGGGGGCGGGGGGCCGGTGACGTCACGTTTCGCGTCGGAGCCGTTTGGGAATGTTTGGAAGTAGCCAAAGCCAATTCGGAGGTCAGCACGCATCGTGACAATCCCTGGGGGGGGAGGGGGGGTGGCTAGAGTCTGGCTAGAGCTGGTAAAGGCCGAACGCCTTCTAACTGCAATTAGCGTCAGCTCGGGGAAATGTAGGACTCGAGCTCGTCAGAGCTCGGGTTCGCCAGCGCTTTTTGGCGGGCCCGCCCTGGATTTTGACGGTCTGGTTTTCGTGGGATGTCTGCAGCGGGAGCTCGCGTCAAGTTTCAGATTGGGTCTCGTCATTTTCCTGACGGCCACGTCAGGCCAATCCGAGTATCCCGAACCAACCCGAGTTTCACGTCCCCTCGACATTCGAATAACCCTTCGGAGGGCCGCGTGGGGGATCGCTTGGATCTCAGAGAAGTACCGATACTGCGACCATTCCCTCGTTTTCACCTTTTGGGCCTCCTGAGAGGCTCTCGTCGCCACGGCTGGATCCGTCTCGAAATTCTGGTCAGAACGCGCCCCAGGCGAGGTCGGGGAGTAGCGGCATGGGCACCTTTTGGATTTCCCATTCGGTGATCCTTGCGGATTTTTGTTGATCGGTGTTGGGCCCCCCCTTCCCAGGGGAGGGGGGCCGATCCAAGAAGTCCGCGCGGACCTCCGAAAGCTTATGCCTGTCTATTTTGACATATTCTGGGGAGGGGGGGGGCTCTCGGCTCTGCATCGGCGACACCTGCCGCGCGTGCATTCAAGACTGGCTTGCAATCTCGCCCATCTCGGATAGCAGCCAGTTGTCCGGGTGCGCTCATCGGCACGCTGGGTACGAGAACTGTGATCACTGTAGAGGGCCAGCCACGACAGGAAGCGACAACGATGCTGCAAGTCTGCTCGTCTCGGGAGGGGGAGACCTCCGACCACTACGCGCTTTCCTCTCGTAGCAGAACTTCCGGGGAGTGGCTCTGCGTCCCGCGTCGTTTCCGTCGACGGCCCGGGATGCAGGCGAGGGCCCCCAGCAGTGAGGCCGAAGATGGTCGAGAGCCCTCCGTCGTGACTGCCCCGCGCCGCGAGGAGGTCCGGGCGTGTGGGCCAGGGCCGGCGGCTGCCTCCTCCTAGGAGGAGGCAGCCGCCGGCCCTGGCCCTCCTCCTAGGAGGAGCTCCTAGGAGCTGCTCCTCGCCCTCCTCCTAGGAGGAGGGCGAGGAGCTCCTCGCCCTCCTCCGGCCAGCCCGGAGAGAGGGCCCTTCCCCAGGCTCGTGTTGGCCGTCCCCGCCGGGCCAGCGGTGTCGCCATCTCCAGCGCGGGCCCCTGGCCGACGGGCTCCGTCGATGGTCGTCCGCGGTGGCGGCGGGCGTCCGTGGAGGGAGGAGGGGGGGCCCCGGGGAGGAGGAGGAAGGGGAGGAGGAGGAGGAGGAGGAGGAGGAGGGGGAGGAGGAGGAGGAGGAGGAGGAGGAGGAGGAGGAGGAGGAGGAGGAGGAGGAGGAGGAGGAGGAGGAGGAGGAGGAGGAGGAGGGGGAGGAGGAGGAGGAGGAGGAGGAGCAGGAGGAGGAGGAGGAGGAGGAGGACGAGGGCCTCGAGAGGTGTTGGGACATCCTCTTCGGGTGCCGGGTGCGCTCCTATAACATGCTCTCGATGCCACCCCAGCGTCTTGAAAGACGTTCCCCTTAAGAGGTGCCCCCCCAGAGAGCCAGGGGGGCGGGAGGAACGCACTCGCACGAGCAGACGCTTTTGGAGGTCCGCGCGGGTCCCGCTTTCTTGCCGGTCCAGCCGTGCAGCCGTCCAGCGTTTGTTTTTACATGCTTCCACCGTCCAGCTTCCCCCGCTCTCCTGCCTTCCAGTTCTCACCGTTCCAAATTTCAGCTTTCCAGCTTTTGGCAGTCCAGCCTCCAGCTGTCCTGCATACGCCTTGGCCGCCGCCCCTGGCGCGCTCCGCGCGCACGGGCAGGTGGGCGAGGAGGGGGTCCAGCGCCGACCCAAGAAATCCGCGCGGACCTCCGAAAGATTATGTCTGTGGACTTGTGCCAGTTCCTTTGGTCAGGGGGATCTTGACCCTTGACCTCATCTCTCCCTGCTTGCCAGTGTTTTGTCGCTCTGCCCCCCTTGCTGCGTTTCGAGGGACAAGCCACTACACAAAAACGTGAACCGTCGGGGGCCCGCGCGGATTTCAGACAAGTTATGTTTATGGTTTTTGTGGTTCCTATAGTGTTGGCTCTCCTGGCCCCCTTCCTCCCTCTGCCTCCCTTGCTCGGGCCGGACGAAAGGGGGGGGATTGGGAAAGGGGGGGGTACGAAATTTGCTGCATGCAGCTGGTTTCGCCCCCACCGAGAAGCCCATTCCACGATACATGGCCGCCTCCGGCGCCGGGAGGCGCCGGGAAAATCAGCTACGTGAGCTGATTCTCAACCCCCCCCTTTGCTATCCCCCCCGTTCGCCCGACCCGACTTGCTCGCGCGGGTTCCCTGCTTCCCCATGTGGCTTCCGCCCCGTCTGGCGGGCCTGCCGGCGCCGCCGCCGTCCGAGCACCCTCTGCGGACCCGCAGCGCGAGGCCTCCTCCTCCTCCTCCTCCTCCTCCTCCTCCTCCTCCTCCTCCTCCTCCTCGACTCGACTCGACTCGACTAAGGGCTGTACAAAGGTGCCCGTACCAAGAGAATTAGAGAAAAAGGGGAGCATGCACCGTGCATTCGTGCAGGGGAAGGAAGGCAGCAGCAGCGGACAGTACACCGCCGTCGAGGAGGCAGGCCTCACACGCAGGGCGCCACCCCTCAGGAGACAGGGGTGACAAGGTCCTCCGCGGCGATCCCCCCACGGGACGCAGACGAGGGGGACCACAACGACCCGGGGACGAAAACGGCGGGGGAAGGGAAGGCGTCGAGAGCTCCCGAAGAGCGCCCAGGGGCGCGAAGATGCACAGGTCCGAGACTGGCGTTGATATCTGACAGCAAACCTGAGAGCAGCAAGGCCGCACGGTCCTGGCCTTCGTGTGGCCCCATCCCACCCTCCTCACCAGTCCTGCGGGCAAAACAGAGTTTAACCTGCATGCTTCTCCTGCTGGGGGCGGGAGGGGGAGGGGGAGGAGGAGGAGAAGACAGGTGGAGCCTAGACGGAACCGCCTCCGTCCAAACTCCAACATGGGAGTCAGCCACTCTCTCCCATACGACTTCAGGTAAGGCCAAATTTTTTTGCACCTGCGCGGGCAAGCACATCGCAGCTCTCGAGGTCGGCGCCTCGCTTCGGGAAGGGGTTTGGATGGACCACACCGCAGGCACACGCCTGACTATAGCGGTCAAAAAAAGGCGGGAAGCAGCTCGGACCCACGAGTTCTCCCGCCCAAGGGTTTCGCGAGCCGTCTCGGAGGCCCAGGGAACCCCCCACTTGAACCTGGAATCGCGCCAATTGCGCGCAACGGGATGGGGTTCAGGTTGGCGGTAGGCCATTTCCCAAGACATCCGATCCCCGAATATGAAAAGACCAGCAACGAAACCCTCAACGATGGCGTTCTGAATGTTTTGCACCACGTCAAGATCAAAAAGGAACTTTTGCGGCTGGCTGGGCATCGCCGCAATCACTCGCAACTCGAGCCCGATATCACTGTAATGCTCACATATCCATGGAAACAGGGAGGCAATAAGCTCGACGGATGGGACGATGATAACAACATAGGCCCTTCCCTGAAGCGAGGGGGTAATGGGCACCACGGGGGCCAGAAGGGGAGCAGGGGTCGCCTCCAAGGAAACGGACGGCACCCCAACGGGCAGAATACGAGGAGCCAAGACGACAGGACGGAAGGGGGCACCGTGAACTTTGCGAGAGGGAATGTGGGCAAAGCACTCGCTAAGCCCTTTGGATCGGCTATCACTCTTAATCCGCTTTCTGTCTTCGATGGCTTCAGCTAATTCTTGCGGGGAGGGGCGGAGCGGAGAAGAGGCCCAGGCAAGCCTACAACCTTGAGCTCCCTGCACATGTTTCAAGAGCCGCGCGCCATCCCAGAATTCTTTCACGCAGAAGGGGCAAACCGTACCCGTAACAAAGTTGGTGGGACTCTCAGAAGTCTTATGGGTCTTACCCACATGCACCCTGACAGTCTTGGGGTCGTCAGCCGTAAACCCACACGTGTAGCAGAGGTATTTGACGATGGGGGGGGGAGGTCGGATGCGTGCTTGCACCATGAATAAGGTTATCACCTGGGGTCTGACCTTCAACATCCTGAGAACCAGGGCGCACAACATTGGGAAGCGTGCGCTCATCCGCTTCAAAATCTGAATCCGGCCTTAACTGCTTGAGCTGCTTGACCCAATGGTCGTGCTCAAGGTCCTCAGTGAAAAAATGTTTAGCCGCCTTCGCAGCCTTGGCCACGAGGCCTCTGAAAGCGCCTGGCGCACGGCGGGCAAGATCGAAGCGTTCGTCAATATACTCAGTGTCGCTTTGGTTCGATGGTACGCTAAAACGTCTCATCCATAACATATCGGCTTGAACGATCTGCGGCCAGCACTTCGGCACACTCCAGAGGGCATCGATGGACACTCGCACAGCCGGAGGCGCACGCAACAGTATGCTTGGGAGCATCCGCATTCTGGCAACAGACAAGACCTGATCGATGGCCAGACGTTGGGTTCTAAGATAGACCATGTCATTCGAGTCTTGGTCGCTAGTATGCTTTCGGAGGCCCTTGTTTAAGGCCGTTCTGTAAACCTGGGAATGGTGGGCACGGAGCTTTCTGGCAAGGAAATCAGGCATATCATCCCAAACACCAGCCGCATAAAGGAAACGAGTGGCCCCCAACGTCTCAGCGTACCGAACTTTAGTTTGGGTCGAAAGGAGCGGGGAGGGGGAAACAACCTTCTTGATGGGCCGAAGCGCACCAACCATGGACGCATTCCTG